AAAATAAAATCAATACTAATCTTTTACTCTCGTTCCCTTCCCCTCTCTTTCTTCTCTCTTTCCTTCACTTCCCTTTACTAATTTTTATTCAAACAAATATTTAATATGAGACGAACTGGAAATTGATTTTCTCAGCAATAATTGGGAACGGAAACGGTAAGTACGAAAACGAAGCGGGAAAATTAAGGGACCTCGGTGGGATTTGAATTTGAATTCTTTCTACAGCCCATATTACTGGGCCTTCCAGCCCGCCATATTTACTGGGCCTCATAAGTCATACCCCCAGCTCACTGCACATTGGGTCACTCAGCACTAACCCAGCAAGACCAGAAACTCGACTCCCTTCGTCATGATTCAAGAATAAGTATTTGATAAAAAATAAAAAAAAAGATTCATTTGAATTCATAATTCATGACATTTTTTGTTAAACATGCACATATTTGTTGTTTGATTGAATGCCTCAATGATATATTATTTCTCTGTAATAAAGCAAGGAAAAGATAGGCTGAATTACTTATCTCTTATTTACAATTGAATTCAAATATATACAAGGTATTGTGCCAAGGAAATAAGTAATATAAAGAAACAAATAATATAAACTTTAATTACAAGAAATTAGTGGTAATCTAGAGAATCAAATCTTCAATTTAATGACAAAATTGTATTATATAACACTTCCTTAACACTCTATACTTATCTTAATTTTAATAAATTAGATTTAAAGTTTTGATTTAAAATTTTAAATTTTTATCCGTTGATATATATGTTATAAATAATAATTTAGTTTTTCTTTTAACTTCATAATTGGATATACCAACGTAAGTCCAAGAAGCCAGACGCTAGCTTGAATCAACAGGCCTGTTTTTTGCACATTGGTCAAGTTCTAAAAGAGCCATGTCTATGGTTCGGACAGCTGGCTTTAGTTGTTGGACACCGATTTCTTATGAGCCAATACATATATATTTTTTCCCTTCTTTACGAAGCAATACCATTAGTAGGTTCTTTTGAATCTTTTGATAAGGAAGACTTTATGGCAAAGAAATCAATCC